GTATTAGTAATGTCCTATATTCTAATGCTTGGATTTTTTTTTTTCATGAAGTCTTGCTCTGTAGCCCAGGCTGGAGTGCAATGGTGCGATCTCAGTTCACTGTAACCTCCACCTCCCAGATTCAAGCAATTCTCCTGCCTCAGCCTCCCGAGTAGCTGGGATTAGAGGTGCCCGCCACCACACCCAGCTAATTTTTTTTTAATTAAAACTTGGAATATTTTGAAAAACTCCTTCCTCCTAGAGAGCTACCAAATGAAATTTTTTTTTCTGATTAGCTTTTTGTCATTTTTGGAATTAGGAGTGCTTTAGATATCTGAATTCATTCAACAAGCATTTATTGAGTGGCTGCTATGTGCCTGGTATGGCTCTAAGTGCTAGAGAGGAAAAGAGTCACCAAAGTCTTTGCTGTCATGGAGCCCTCATTCTAGTGGGGTAGGCAGACAGCAAAGAAACAAGTCCTGCATGTCACATAGTGTCAGGTGGTGTCAAGCGGTAGACAGAGAAGCTCAACATGAGAAAGGGAGAGAGAGCAGCTCCACACACTCACAAAATGGGAGTGAGAACTTCAAGCCAGTGGATGTTGTCTAATATAGGCCAATAACCTTCCCTCCATCCATCCAATCAAAGAGCTTCGCTTTTTGCTTTTTCCTTTTAAAACTCAATGATTTTCTTTTTCTTTTCTTTTTTTTTTTTTTTTAAGCATCATTCACCTCTAAAAACCATCCCAATTGCAAATGCTAATATTTCATGCGGTTGTCCTTAACCAGCCCACGTGTGTAGAAGGGCAGGAACATATGCAGAATACTCGGCGAAGGGGAAGGAAGTCAAGATGACTTGAATTTCCAGACTTGCCTTGGATATTTAGAAAACAGTCGTTTTAGATACAAGTGTACACTTACACTTTGAGTACTCCCCTCTCCTCTCTGACAAAGATTCTCTGCTTGACCAAACTTTAGTCAAGCTTCTGAAACTTCCCTTTGACCCACCTGTGCACTTCCTTATAAAATTCTGTTTTAGTAAAGAGCCCTGTTAAGTCAGTTTAGGAAGAACCCCCACCCTGGATATCTTATCAGGTTCCTCATCCTCCACCCTCCCCCAGGTGTTCTCTGAGCATCCCGGCCTGTCTTCAGCAAGAGTCCTGTTGGGTCAGTGTATTCAGATCCCCGCTTACCCCTGATGTTTCCTTGAGTAATTTTCCATCCACTGGCCCCAGCCTGCTCCTTGGCTATCCGTTCCCACTTGTCCATGCTGCATCTGAAGTTGAGCCCAATCTCTCTCCCCTGACCCCATGCGGCAGTCCCTATAGCTATCTACTATCTCCATGGTTCTCAATAACGTCTGCTTTACTGTCTTCATCAAGTTTCATTCCACTTTTTTTTCTTTAATATCTTCACCATCTCCACACAGAAATATTCTCCTTTTAAATGGACATTCAGTAACTGAGAGTGATGTGGCTGTTCTATATTTAAAATTAACCTAGGAGTATGTTGTCTCTGAAAAACTGCGCACCAGATTGCCTCACAGATCACGGCTGAGACAGAGGTCCTCAAGTGAGCCCTCGCAGGCTGCATAGGAAGAATGGAAGTGGGAGTCGGGGCTGTTCTCTCTTAATACACCTTGGTAGATACATTTTTCTGCCCTCCAACCCCATTTCGAGTCTGCTCTGATGGAGAAAAGTGACGAGAGCGAATCCTTCATGGGCTGTTTGTTATCTCACACACACACACACAAACACGCACATACACACCTGGATCAATGCATTCCCCCTCTAGGGAATGCAGTTGCATGGATGCTGCCCCACCCACCGAGGAAAGCTGCAAGTTTGAGCAGCTCCGGCTCTGGAACCAAAGGCTTTTGTTTAAGGAATTACCAGGCACTAAGCAGAGGCAATTCAAAACCGGTTAAACCAGTGTGGCAAGGAGACTGATTCAGACTCCTCATAGGTTTCTCCAAGTGTAACAGACACAAGCAACCCAGTTTCCTTTAAGGAGTCACAGGAAAGGTCAACCTAGTCAAGTGGTAGGGGAAAGACATCACTGGAAACCATTAGTCATGTGGATGACACGGGGCCATACCGTACTGAGGAAAAGCCACAATTGAGATATAAAGTTGCTGGGCATGAAAGACAAGCAGAGAAGGCTTCCCAGGAGAAGGGACATTTTAGTTGTGGCAAGGAGAATTTGCCAGAAGGATGGTTTAAGAAGCTGAACCTTTAAATAAATGTCTTAAATATAATAAAATTCCACTTAGGAAATCATCTTAAAACTTAACAATAGGGAATATTTATTAGGACAGGAAAGAAAACTCTAAGATATTTGAATATATCTCATAGAGATTAAGAATTTTTTTAAAGACAGTTGTGATAACAGTTCCCACCAATATTGCAATACCCTGTTTATAACTGAATTAAAACAAAAATTATTTGGAAATTATAAAACAAAACATCTAAAACAATGGTCTCTCTACCTTGAAAAAAAGGTATTGCACAAATATAGCCTAGCTTACATATAAAGATTTCAAGCATTCAAATTATGCTAATGTATTTCATTTATTAACAAGCTTATTTACAGTTATTGGGTAGGCAAGACTACAGGAATAAATGATTCAAAAGAAATGCTTAATAATTAAAAAGTGATTGTACTACCATTGGACCTAGCAATTCCATTCCTATATGTATAGCTAAGAGAAATAAAAACATCCCTATGCAAAAACTTGGACACAGATGTTCATAGCAGCATTATTTATAATAATTATTGTAAATAAAGATGGGAAACAGTCCATATGTCCATCAACTGATGAGTGGATAAATAAAATATGGCATATCCATACAATGGGATAATATTTGGCAATAAAAAGGAAAGAAGTACTGATACGTACTACAAAATGGATGAACCTTGAGAACACTATAATATGTGAAAGAAGCCAGTCACAAAAGACCACATACTGTCTAATTCCATTTATACGAAAAGTCCAGAATAGGCAAATTTATAGAGACAGAAAGTAGATTCTTGTTTGCCCAGATCTAGAGGGATGGAGATGAGAAGTTACTGTTAATGGGTAGGGGGGTTCTTTGTGGGGCGATGAAATGGTCTAAACATGTGGTTATGATCATGGAATTTCATGGAACTGTGAAATACAGTCTGCTCTCTGAAGAAATGCTACTGCTATCCAAAAAAACCCAAAAAAAAACAAACAAAAAAAAAACGCTTTCACTGAACAGGTTAGTTTTATATTTTTGTCTCAGAAAAAAGAATTCAGTTACCAGACAAAGGATGCAATTTCCAGTGACAAAATGCCAGGCCTAAATTAAGCTGCTTCAAAATATACCACAAGATCTCTAATGACCTCCAGTGGTCACGACTAAAATTGCCTGGTTTATGATACCTGAGCCTAGAACACGACGCACAAAGTGGTTATAAATGTGACGTCTGGTCTGTTATTTTCTTATCTTGAAAGCTGCAAAGTTGGAGTAAAAGGAAACATAGCCAATGACTATCATAAAATGTCTCTTCCCCCTGATATTTCAACATTGACCGAAGGGCCCGTTTATCCGTGCCCTGTCTTTGCAGCCTCTTTCAACAGAGCCAGAAAGATGCCTGTCTCCTTCCAGTGACTCCACTGAGAGAGTCCATTAACAATCTGCTTTGCACCCACAGATGCAGGAGTAGCCGACACGTGAGGAGGAGAGAAAAAATGACTGATCAAAAGAGACTGGCAGGAAAACATGTAAGAAAGAACAAGAGGCAAGTGCTCCACCTAAAATACGCCAATTTGGTCATGCACAACTCTCAGATACTTTTGCGGGCTATCTAAGACATCCGAAGGTTACCCTCTCCTGCAGCCTCACCACCAAGTTCTAGTGAAAGTACCTAACATCAAATGATGCCATACTTAGAGTTTTTCTAAACAAACATTAGTAAATAAGCCCAAACAACTTCACACAGTCTCCTCTGTAGGCCTGATGAAGTCCCAGCTCTCTCTCCTCTGGGTAAAAGGTTCATTCGAAAGGACAATGTTTCAGAAACAGTATTCTATTATTTTTACCCTCATTGTTGGCCTCGGGCTACCAGAAATCCTCCAGACTAACATAAGGCCATTTATTTGGCATTGAAGGCTGGAAAAGCATCCTGCCACACACCTGCTACCAGCCTGGCTGGATTCTTCAGCCACATCCAGGCAAGCTGGAGGGCTCTCTAGAATATTTCGGTCAGTCCACACATATCTTGAATACCTTTAACTTCACAAAAGAGAATCCATTTCTAACATTCGTCTGGCTAGTTAACAAGCCACAGGT